GGCCTGGACTCCTGGGTCCTGGGGAGGTGGGGGCTTGGGCCTGGACTTCTGGGTCCTAGGGAGGTAGGGGCTTGGGCCTTGATTCCTGGGACCTGGGGATGTAGGGGCTGAGACCCGGATTCTTGGGACCTGGGGAGGTGGGAGCAGGTATCTGGGTTACTGGGACCTGTGGAAGGGGAGGCTGGGGCCTGTGTTCCTGGGTCCTGGGGAGGTGGGGGCTGGGGGCTGGGTTCCTGAGACCTGGGGATTTAGAGGGTGAGGCCTGGATTCCTGGGTCCTGGGGAGGTGGAAGCTGGTACCTGGGTTCCTGGGACCGGGGGAGGTGGGGGCTTGGACCTAAGCTCCTGGAACTTGGGGAGGGGGAGGCTGGGGACTGGGTTCCTGGGTCCTGGGGTGCTGAGGGATTTAGGCCAGGCTCTCCCCGGGCCAGGCACAGCTGGGGACACTGGCAGGCTGACGCACGTATCCTCTCTCAGGGTGTCTTGGTCATGGCCCCCTGGCGCTGCAACTCCTCTCCTTCACACTCTTGGCTGGGCTCCTGGTGGCCATCCTTGTCCAAGGTCAGGGGCAGGTTCTGAGGTCTGAGGTCCCCAGGCCTGGCCTTTTGGCTGTGAACAGAGCCTGGAGTGGCCAGGTCTATGAGGGAGGTGGGGCTGAGAGCCAAGATGTTGTCCCTTGGGGTTTGCAGGGGCCTCTCCCACAGCCCCTCCCCACCCTAGGGCAGGAGAGGAGAGGGAGGAGGAGGAGGAGGGGGAGGAGGGAAAGAACCTGGCTCTCCTTGGCCTTCTGTGCTGCCTTCTCTGGGTGTCAGTTTTCCTCCTCTTCAAAGGGGATTAAACAAGACCTTGGCTCTCACAAATGATGTCCCTATGGGGGTCAGTTCAGGGCTTGGCACACAGTAGGTGTTTAATAATTGCAGTTCTTCCTTTTCTTCTTGGCCCAGTGTCCAAGGTCCCCAGCTCCATAAGTCAGGGACAATCCAAGCAACAGGAGGTCTACCAGGAGCTGATCTGGCTGAAGGCCGCACTGGGTGAGCTCCCAGAGAAATCCAAGCAGCAGGAAATCTACCAGGAGCTGACCCAACTGAAGGCTGCCGTGGGTGAGTTGCCGGAGCGGTCTAAGCAACAGGAAATCTACCAGGAGCTGACACGGCTGAAGGCTGCAGTAAGTGAGTTGCCAGACAGGTCCCAGCAACAGGAGATCTACCAGGAACTGTCGCAGCTGAAGGCTGCAGTAAGTGAGTTGCCAGACAGGTCCCAGCAACAGATCTACCAGAAGCTGACTGAGTTGAACGCTGCAGTGGTTAAGCTCCCAGAGAAATCCAAGCAACAAGAGATCTACCAGGAACTGACCCAGCTGAAGGCTGTGGTGGGTGAGTTCCTGGAACCAGGGATCCTTGGGCCTGAAATGGTCATTGTGTGGTGTGAGTTTGCTTGAGTCACCGACCCCGTCTGAGCCTCAGTTTCCTCATCTGTGCAATGAGAACACAGGGTAACTGTGATTATTGCACTCCGTGTTCACAGTGGGCCAGGTACACAGTAGCTACTCAGTTAAGCCTGTCCCCTGCCTTCTGTTCGGCGCTCTAAAGCCCCTACTTCTCCTAGTCTGGAGGAGATGGGGCCGGGACTCCTGCGTTCTCATGAGGATGGGGGAGGGACTCAGGAAGTGGGGAGGGAAATGGTCCACCCAGCATGAACAGTCAAGGAAGGGCTCTGATTCTCAAGGGCTTGAAGGTTGGGCAGATACAGGAATATGGGCAACTTGATCCGACCAGCCTTCCCCAACAGAACGCCTGTGCCGCCCCTGTCCCTGGGAATGGACATTTTTCCAAGGAAACTGTTACTTCATGTCTAACTCCCAGCGCAACTGGCATGACTCCGTCACCGCCTGCCAGGAAGTAGGAGCCCAGCTCGTCATAATCAAAAGTGATGAGGAGCAGGTACACCTGGTGGGGTCCCTGGCCTGGCCTGGCCTGGCCTGCCTGGGGCATAGCTTCTGGCCAACCAGAGAGGAGATTCTCAGAGAGGATTTTGCAGAAGAGGGGCTTTGCTCCACTTGGAAAGATGGGAGGAGAAGGATATGAATGAGGGCGTCCCAAGCACCCTTAGAGCAGATACAAACCACACTGAACATGTGGAAAAAACATCAAATGTGGCGGGGTACAGTGGCTCACGCCTGTAATTCCAGCACTTTGGGAGGCTCAGGCGGGTAGATTACTTGAACCTGGGAGGTGGAAGTTGCAGTGAGCTGAGATTGTGTCATTGCACTCCAGCCTGGGCGATAAGAGTGAAACTCCATCTCAAAAAAACAAAACATCAAATGTAAGCAAACCCCAGTGGCGTGCTGCAAGTGTTTAACAACCAGCTCTCTGGGGGGAAAAGTCCTGATGTGTCATGTTTGCCAATTTCCCTGGTGTAAATATTCCCACTGTGGCTAATTTCAAACATCAGTGTGATGTCAGTCCAAGCAGAGCTGAAAGGAGATGATCCTGACCAGCAATTAGGAAATGGTTGGATCTGGCTCCAATACATTATTAAGCCCAGTTATGAGTAAATTTGTGTGGGCCTTCACGGAACGTGTGAAATGGATGGACAGGCAGGATTAGCAAGAGTGTGTGAGGAGAGGCCAGCTGTGCATGGATGCCTGCATGTCAGGACACATGTGTTGTGGGAGACACATGTGAGAGACTCAGACATGGGGGGGCACTTAGGACCCAGAATACAGGAAAGCTGAAGGTTAGCCTACAAGCAGAACTTCCTGCCAAGAAATGGGGAGGTGGAGCCTGGAAAGTGGGAAGCAGAACTCCCTCCTGACTCCTCCTCTACCCTCCAGAACTTCCTACAGCTGCAGTCTTCCAGAAGTAACCGCTTCACCTGGATAGGACTTTCAGACCTAAAGCAGGAAGGCACATGGCAGTGGGTGGATGGCTCACCTCTGTCATCCAGGTAGATCCCAGGAGAAGGGGACAACCTATCCCGTGGGACTGGGGTCCTGAAACCCGACTTGAATTTTCCCTGGGGACCCTCCCCCACTCCCTGATACCTTAGACCCAAGAATCTGGGGTTTTTACTGAGTTGAGGAAGGTGGTCTTCATACCCATCTGCAGACAGCATGGCAGAGACCTAAAATTCCACCTGCACAGCTGCAGGAGGAGCCTGCCTCGAGGGTGGGTGTGTTAAAATATAGTGTATTAATAGGAAGTCTGAGGTCTAGTAAGGCCACCAGCTTAGGAGACAATTGCTATTGTGAGTAGCTTCTCATATTCACAGCTCCGTAGAGAGAGAGAACACATTACAGCTGGCTGCCTCCTGGGGAAGCACCAGGATCTGTTATGAGGCAGAGTGATGGGGAGGGGGGACTGTGGGCCAGAGCCTTTATTATGGTTTGCATGCAAAGGAAAGGTCAAGGTCAGGCAAGGAGGCTTAGGATTGGCAAGTACGATGCATTTTTTGGGCTCGGGGGCATAGGGGCTGCCTGCCACCGGGGCTTGGGGTGATTAGCATAGGGTAGTGGCTTGGAGTACAAGAGCCGGATAAGGCAGGTGGTTGGGGGTGTGGACTCCAGGTTGGTTGGTTTGTATTTGAAAATCACACCCTCAGTAGTGGAGTCCGCCCAAGGACAGGTTGTGACAAGAGAGGCAGGAATCAAGGCACTCAGGCATATTATAGGGAGTGCAGAGCAATTCACGGCCAGCATACACAGGCAGGGCCAATGTTGAAGCATCAAGATCACAGATTACAGAAGGTAGAAACACAGCTCATGTAGTAGGCGGGGGCAGAGGCTCACATTCCACATGGGCTTTGCAGCCTCAGGCGGTATTGGAACCAAGGAGAGCCCAACAATATCGGGGAGGAAGACTGTGCGGAATTTAACGGCAACGGCTGGAACGACGACAGATGTAGTGCCGCCAAATTCTGGATCTGCAAAAAGTCCGCAGCCTCCTGCTCCAGGGATGAAGAAAGGCTTCTCTCCTGAGCCCCTACCACCTCAAACCCCCATGCTGGGTAGCAGAATTTCACCCAGCTCTCTGGGGGAGAAAGTCCTGATGTGTTGTGTTTGCCCATTACCCTGGTGTAAATATTCCCACTGTGGCTGATTTCAGACATCAATGTGATGTCACTCAGTGCAGAGCTAAAAGGAGATGTGTGTGACCAGCAATTAGGAAATGGCTGGATCTGGCTCCAATACATTAAGCCCAGTTATGAGTAAATTTGGGTGGACATGCACTTTGAAGCTACAGTTCCTTGTCTCCATCCTTGGACCTTCACAAAATCTCTGGGACTGTTCTCTGTCAGATTCATCCTCCTTTAGAAGGCTGGGTCCCATTCTGTCCTTGTCATGCTTCCAATTTCCCCTGGTGTAAGCTTGTTTTTCTGGGTCATCCTTGGAGCTTTATGAATGAGCTGTTGTGGGATGCCTTTGGGGGGTGGGCTTGTGTTCCATGAATCTGCTCTCTCTTCCTTTTAGAGATAAGAATGGGTGTAGTTTCCGTGTTCCCTGGGGCATTATCTCATACACGCAACCTACCCTCTGTTCAACTTTCACCTACCACCTCCTGCACCCCTTTGACTGGGACTTACTGGTTGCAAATGCTCATTTTACAGGCTGGAAACACCAGGGAATTAATTCCCCATCTACCAATGGCACCCCAAGAGGCCATTGAGGCTCCATGTAATCCCTTCCACCTCCCACATCTTCTTTTGTCCTATACATGGCTTCCATTGGGCTGTTTCTAAGTTGTAGCCTTTATTAATATTATCATTATTTTTTGAGACAGAGTTTCACTCTTGTTGCCCAGGCTGGAGTGCCATGGCAAAATCTCAGCTCACCACAACCTCTGCCTCCCAGGTTCAAGTGATTCTCCTGCTTCAGCCTCCCCAGTAGCTGGGACTACAGGCATGTACCACCACACCCAGATAATTTTTTGTATTTTTAGTAGAGATGGTGTTTCTCCCAGTTGGTCAGGCTGGTCTCGAACTCCTGACCTCAGGTGATCTGCCCACCTCGGCCTCCCAAAGTGTTGGGATTACAGGTGTGAGCCACTAAGCCTGGTCTATTATTTTTTTTAAAGAATAAAACAGGTTTATTTGGATCTGGGAGTCTAAACAGTTCTGACTCTACGACCTGACCTCCTCCTGCCACGACTTCGGGACCTAGAGGAACTTTGGCTCTGGCTCCAGTTGCCCTGGCCCTGCTGTGGTGCCTATTTCTTCCTCTACTTTGTGAACTGTGCCTCTCCTGACTCTTTGGTGTGTGCTTGTGAGATTTCTTCCCTGGACTACTCCTTTTCCTCTTGGATTCCCCATTTCTTTTGCAGGAGTGGCCTGAACTAGGGTTTCTCCTTCCCCACTGCCTGCTGTGGTATTCGTTGTGGTGGCCCATCCTCTCCCTCCTCTCGGAGTTCTTGCCAAAGGAGGAGCCAGTGCGATCTGGAGACAAGCAGATGTCTCTATTCACTTCCCAGAATTCATTGATGGGATTTCTGAACACAAGGAGAAAGTTGCAGTGTTTTCCTGTTGGATGTTGTTGTTTTTCAAACAAACTACAAATCACCGTTTTTCACCGGGTCACTGGGCAGAATTCACACTGAAGGTGTGGTCCTGTATACCATCGTCCGTTAAACGGAGAAAGGGCTGCTTGTTATTCTGCTTCCAACTGGTAGTGAACATAAACATTGCCCCTTAGGTGAGGTTTCAAGTTGCAGCTGACCCTGAGCTGAATCACTCTCCCCACGTTCTTGAACTGGGGCAGCACATCCTCATAGAAATCTAGGAATTGTGGGTAGGTTTCTTCCTCGCTGTCCTCCAGGCTGGCATCAGGGTCATAGTCATCCCTCCTGCACTG